TAACTAAGTGTGGGAGAGCAATATTTCGGCACGAATGGGCCGGCTCGACGGAGCGATACCACGGCCGAGCAGAAAACCGACGTGAAGCAACACATGCGTTGTGTTTCGTCCTGTGAGTGAGGTTACCGGAGGCCCAATTACCCTCCTCTTCCCCAATCTTCCCAATTCCTGAATCCTCAACGATCCTCAAACTACTAATCCCCAAAAGGCCGGTAACGCACTTGTAACGCCTCTGGTGTTCCAGGTGTCCATGGGCGATGCCGATTGCTTACCATCAGGTGATCCGTCTGATCGTTTACCGGCTAATGCCACCAAAAAAACTATCTAATAATACAAATGCTAAAGTTTTGTTTATTTGTCAACTCTTCATGTTTTAATTTACACAGAAAAAGCCGCAAATCTAGTCGACAGTAAAAGTTTCTTCTCACAAGAAGAAGAAATGAGCATAATTACAATTTTACAATTACAAAAATTACAAATCAAAGTCAAGGATTGATGATGTCACCTAATCGTTGTTACAAGTCTAAGTTTCTTCACGATTTTAACCGTACCTTTACAAGCGTATGTTTTATTATGGTGTCTAAATAAATGAACATTTTATTAATAAATACCTATTTAATTTAAATTCTTATCAATAAAAAAAATATGCAATAAAATTACTATCAGGGATTAAAGTTTTTATCGATATGCATATTTAATTCTTTCTTATCGAACCCCATCACTATGAAACGTCAAAATCCAAGGACGTTTTAAAGGCCGCCGCGTGCAAAATGCACTTTAATTTTTACACGTAACTTTGTAAATATAAAAATACCTGATTTTTCTTTATTTAATCGTCATGTTTTAAACGTATCTTTTTGAAATTTTACGTAGGTATTAACATATAGTTGATATGGTTTTGACTGCCTCGTTGGCCGAGTGGTTGGTTGCAACTGGCGGCAAGGGGTCTTGGGTACGATTCCCGGATCGGGTAAAGTATTTTTGTTTTTTTTTTTTTAATTTTCAGTAGTAACAGGGAGTCTGGAATTGTGCCCGGTATATGGCAATAGGCTCACCTCCTATTACATGGGATTCATAACATAAATAGTGAAAAGTGTTACATTGTGCAGTGGTATTAAGTGCCGTAATTTACACCTCTGCGTGAATAAGACGCAAATACGTCTTCGGGAATAAGAGACGTGATTTTATGTTATGTTTTATAGTTTAGAGAAAGAGAAACAGAGATAGACATATGCTAATAACGGGTAACCGGGGCTCCGGCTCGACGTGCAGGAGTAGAACCGCGGTGGTTTTTAGTCAGTAAGAGTCTGACACTTCTTCCCGCCTCACCCAGGCGGGAGAAGTCATTCGATGATATTACCCCTTAAAAAAGGCTATATTTAAGCGGGCAAAGCCGGAGTAAAAACTTCATATATTAATGATTATTTTCCCATCTCTACCTACCACTTTAGATTACTTTTGATACATGAGTTTCAAGTATTTTGTTTTGATATTGAAACTCTCGATACTTGAGTAGTGCTACATACAAGTTAATACTAAATTGATTACGAATCATAATGCGCCGATTTTAGCTTAACACCCTCAACTGTTCTAATCGTTAATTGACTTCGAGTTCTATTCTTTCAGGATTAAGGTAGAAAATCGGTTAGAGGAATTGAATGTTTTGGGGTAGCTTGATGAGCGGTGTCGGTACGTGCTCGAAACAAAAATAAGAACAATTTTAATTGACCTTCGGAACAGTTAATTGATTGTTCGTTCATTGTGATTTGTAACTGTGTAGCTAGCAAGCTGCCTCGTTGTCCGAGTGGTCGCAAGTGCCGGGCAAAGGGTCTCGGGTTCGATTCCCAAGTCGGGCAAAGTATTACTGGGTTTTTAAAAAAAATCTCAGTAGTAGCACGGAGTCTGGAATTGTGCCCGGTATATGACAAGGACTTACCTCCTATTACATGGGACTCGCAACATAAATAGTGAAAAGTGGGTGTCACTTATACTTATACAGTGAGTAATCAATTCTGACGACTTGATTTAGTACCCTACCGTTCGTTACCCTAGAATATCCCTTGATAAAAACTAATTCAAAAGCCTAAATTCTGCTAGAAGTCATTATTATACGCGGACGAAGTCGCGGACAACAGCTAGTAAATAAATAAACACACATTACTAATTAAATATATATAGTTTGCTGTTTAGTTTGATCACAAGCATGTCGGATGTGAATAACGGCAAATGAGATATTTCTATCTTATCTGTTTACACACTGAACGCCCAACAACTGGACAGTACGCGATAGTCACAGTCACTTAACTATGTTCCAAAAAACAGTATAAAAAACTGTACCCCGAAATCAAATAAGTACGGTTAAGTTCCAAAAAAACCTAGACTTCAGTACAAATAAGTACGGTTTCCTGCCGTGGATGGCGGTAAAGTAGAATGCATTTTGTGTCTACCTCTTCACTACATAGTACAGAACAAAGTCGCTATCCGCCGTCTGTCTGTCCTTATGTATGCTTAGATCTTTAAAACTACGCAACGGATTTTGATGCGGTTTCTTTTAACAGATAGAGTGATTCTTACGGAAGGTTTAAATGTATAATACATGCATATTGCACCCGTGCGAAGCCGGAGCGAGTCGCTAGTTTCTAATAATCGTTAAACGGACTAAGGAGCTGCTTATTTAACAGAGACAGAAGTTCTCTTTGAGAAACCTGAATATTTTCCAACTCTAATTTGCCTTTGCCTAAGTGCGAAGTACACGCCGCCGTCTTGTAACTAGCTTTATAACGCGGCTCTACACACACAAACTCAAACACGTAATTGATATTATTCCTAATTCCATAAAACTCCAATAAGAAACATTGCTGTCGCTTATTCTGAAATACTTTCGAACTTAAACGATTTATTATAGCCATATTTTTAACTATTGGCCCGAAATTTTCTCTTACATTGAACCTTTATGACTTCTGTGACATGCCCCCGGGAAATGACACGGTTTTAAAACTACAGCTTGTATAGATGAGGTCCATAATCCTACAAGAGAATATCACTGGCTGTTGCTGTGAGACAGTATTTATGACAAAAAATCTGTCTGGACATATGTGGTTTTCAAGCAAAAACTTCGCAGACATCAAGCACATAAAGGTACTCAAATTCGTCCAAACTTGCAATAGATTTTTGTCCTTATTACAGAAATATTAAAGTTGAGAGTGTAAAGAAAGAATTTGTCAGTTTTTAGCCGCTTTATGCGCTTACGTTTGAACGAAAACAAAAGATCCTTTTTGGTCCCTTCCAGAAAAAATGGCGGAGATTTTTTTAGAACGCCATTATGTCAAAAGAAATTAGTGTTAAAGGAATATAGGTCTTTTTGCAATTGAGATAAGAATGTTAATGTCAAATTGGATTTGCGGGTGATGGATGGTTCGTTGATGATCGTGAGAAGGACTTGTTTTTAATCAAAATCACTTCGTGGATGGCCATGGAGGTTAGAAACTCACAAATAGCAATAGTAACAGAAGGAAACATGTTCAAGTTTAAAATTTTTAATAGGTACACCTTTTTACAGACCAACGAGTGACAGGAAGAAATATTTGAAATATCTTACGAATCGAAAATACAGAATCTATCAAATTTTTACTATATACATAGCTTCAAGCCTGTCTCCCATGGAGGTAGGCAGAAACTAGGAAAAGCCAATTGCTACGATTCCTACATACCTCTTTCGCTTCATCATCAGTCATCAATCTTTTCATGCATGCTCGTCGGTTAAGGGTACTGTTAATTGGGTCCTTTTTTAATATTTATTTTAAACCTAGGATACTACCTAATTATACATAATAGACTAATTTTTCCTTTGACCAAGCTAGTATTGATATTATTATAACGTAAATTAGGACAATTAGTAGAATCGATTGCGTAATTTCAGATGAGCAATTGTAATGTAATAATTTGTATCAACAGCTGGTGGCTTGTATTATGTTTCAACGAATAATTTCCTAACAATGACCTTGGGGGCAACGGACATATTTGTCATCGCTAACCAGGCAAATAAGAATAATTTTCGAACACAATGTATCATTCCTAATCGTGTTTGAAATAACTAAATCGACATATGTAATTTTTAGGTTTAGTTTTTTATCGATAACTTTTTGAAGTAGAGTGTAACATCACTATTTGGTTTTAACTGTCAAATTAGGCTGTAAAAGAATTATCATTTCCTAAAAAAATTCACTTTTTAATTGCATCCAAAGGAATCCTGTCCTTTCATAGCTAATTATCTACTTTTATTATATCAGACAATGGCAAAGCATTGAATACCTGTACCTTACTTCTCAATCTAAGAAGATAAAAATTGCGATAAGATAACTTATTTACGTAGTCTGACTCATATTTTAAAGCAAGTCAAGAACGACCTTATCATTCGACCTTTTGTCTAACGAATTATTTTTTTAAAGAAAATACGTTACACAATGACGTAATAAGTATATAATGTTTTTATAAACCTTTTTACGGAATGCTCATAAGTTTAAGAGGAAAAAATAAGTAACCGTCCTGCTATTTGAGGAGATGATGTCATTAATTATTAATTGTATTCGTTGTGAACGTTAATTAATACGATACGATGTTCTTTATAGACTTATTAACAACATAATAATATTCGGCGTCTAATTTAGCGAATAAAATTTCATATCTATTTGTGGAGAGAACTTTCTAAAATATATCGATAAAAATTCTTAATTGCACATCACTGTCACGCAAAGGCGTTATTTTTTAAAGGCCAAAAGTATCCGAAAAAGAAATTAGCGAATGCACTGCACAAATCCGATGCACGCGGAGAAAGCAACTCCCGCGAAAATGCGCCGGTTAGCACGCAACACACTAATCACGTAAAAAAATTGTTTGTAAACACAATTTTAACACAACACAATTTTTTCAACACTTCGACAATATTAGTAACGGATTTAAAAAAAAAACTAATAAAAAAAATTAATCACTGCTTCCGTCACCTTGCACCATAGATAAGATAGACGTTGACGCGAGCAATGGCGTCCGCGCCGGGCAACTGTCAGGCGTCGACTGGCAAGTTTCCGTCACACTGCAGATTATCGCGTAAAGTATTAGGGGTCCGTTGGCGACGCCGTTTCAAACGATAAAATATTGAGATTATTCGATGCTCAATTCATGAACAATTAACAAGGCTTTGTAGTTTTTTTGACGTTAATAATATCGTGTATAATTTTACTTCATTTTGGCCCTCTCTTTATTTAACTGTACTTATTTTAAAGTGTGAAATGGTGGTCTCTGACGGTCTCCAGTATCAATAGTAATTGGCAGCAGACTGCTATAATATGGGCATTATAGCATGGTCCATTATACCAAATTCCATTTTTACTTGGAATTTCGAAATATTAATTTAAATAGCTGTTTTCTTTAAAACTTGTTTATGATACCGGTATTTATATCATACTTACAAATAACCCAGAATATTATATTAATGAATAATCAGGTGTTATACAAAAGTCGTTTATAAATAGATTAAATAAATACTTATATTATGAATAATTCATGATATTTTCTCAAAAAAATTATATAATTTGGTACACCTGACAGACAGACTGACGGTTAAATTGATTTCAAATATTTATCACAGACAAATTCAATATTTATAACAAAATTTTAAAAAGAATAGTTCCCTATGTATATTGTATTGTGACGTCATAGACGTTTTTGTCAAATAGAGTACTTATTTCTTAAAAATAACAAGACATTGAATCGTATTACCTAATTTTAAACTGAGTATACAAAAACACATTGTGACGCTTCAAGTGAAACATGCGAATTTATTTTGCAAATAGACTACAAAACACTATTGTTAGACGACAATTTAAAACAAAATCCAGATTCGGCAGGTTTTACCTAATTCCTTACTGACGACTTTGAGAAAAAATGCCGAAACAAACTCATAATTATGTCCCGTAGAAAATGGCATGTCGTCTTCGAACACCAGTGAAACAAGCGAAACAAATGAAACAAGCGAAACAAGTGAATTTATTTCTGCAAATAGGCTACAAGGCAGCACTTTATACACGTCAATTTTATCAAGCGAACGATGAGGCCGACATTTCCTAACTGACTACTCTGAGAAGAAATGCCGAAACAAACTCAGAGGTCCGTCTCTTTTAAAGTCCAGACAAATATGTATAAAAGATTGTGTATGACGAGACCCACCAAAAAGATTAAACCCACTGTCTATATCAAGGACCACACGACGCAATATAACCTAGACAATTTCTAATCTAACCGACTGACTGCATATGAATACAAAAAAGGTATTATGTGCTACACAATAGTCGTGTAATGTAGGCTAGTTTCACTTCGAAGTGTTTGAAAGTAAATTATCACGACGCGACGTCCACATTCCATCCCTGTATTTTTACCGTGTGATGGCGGGAAAGTAGAATACGTCATGTGTCAAGTTGACACTTAATTCTTCTTGTGGATGACGTAAGCAAATAACGGATGAAATTAATAACTTTTGTTTTCTTTTTGTTTAAAAAAACGTTGCCCCACACTAGGATTCTCTCCTGTGTCGTGGGTGCGTTTACAAACATACAATATCACATACACATGACACCCAGACCCGCAACAACAATCTGTGGATCACACAAAGAATTGTTCCGTGCGGGAATCGAACCCGCGACACGTTGCGCGGCAGCCAGTTGCCCAGCCACCGCGCCAACCGTAATTTTTACTGGTGTTTAATAACTGGTGTTTAAATTTTTTATTTATTTACATATTTCTTTATTTCTCATTTTTGTCTACTTATCTGTGCATACAATGTGTCGAATAAATGTTTTTCTTTCTTTCTATCTATCTTTATTTCAATAAACTAAAATTATGTCAAGAATCCATCAGATTTTTTACATTATTAGTAGTGTTTCTGTAAAAAATTGCGTTTATTCCCATTTGCCTCCACATGCGTACTAGAAAATGGGTTCCAGTAAACGAACAGACGGATCACCTGATGGTAAGCAATCGGCGCGCGGCGTCGCCAATGGACACCTGGAACACCAGAGGCGGTACAAGTGCGTTGCCGACCTTTTGGGCATTAGGAATTTGAGAATTGTTGGGGATTCAGGGATTAGGGTGTGGAGGGGGAATTTGGGGGTGAAGGGGTAATTGGGCCACCTGTAAACTCACTCACTCGACGAAACACAACACAAGCGTTGTTTCATTGTGGTTTTCTGCTCGGCCGTGGTATCACTCCGGTCGAGCCGGCCCATTCGTGCCGAAACATGGCTTTCCCACAGTCAGTTTTATTTGAGCCCGAAATATTATTGATCATTTTATTACAACGCCATAGGATTTTGAATCGAAATCGAATAATTTCGGCCGTTAAAAAATCTCATGTAGTTTGCAGATTGTTTAGTAAACGAGTACATATTCTAAAAATAGAGGTATTGAATATCAATTATATTTATCCTGTTAAATTGTGTATTTGTCCTTGACAATTACGTACAAATAAATGAGTAACCTATATCCTGTCTTCTAATAACGTAGTATTTTAATGACAAACAGTTGTGGTTGTATCTTCCTTCCTCATCAAACTCAAAGGCATTTATTTCAATTAAACTATCATTTAGTAACTTTGGTTACGTCAAAAAATGCAAAATAAATAATAGTCTTTCAGTCAGCCCGTCAGTGAAGCTAGGTGAAGCTAGGTTAGCTAGCTCGTTCCAAAATGTAGATTCGAATGGAGAAGAACGAGCAAGAAACTCTATTCGTGACTCTTTTAAAAAAATCACATTTAAAATCTATACTGCCTCATATGTAAAGATGTCGTGGAGAACCTAACGGGTTACCGGGGCTCCGGCACGACGTGCAGGAGAAGGAACAGGGTGGTTTTTAGTCAATAAGAGTCTGACACTCCCTCCCGTCACACTCAGGCGGGAGCAGTAATTCGATGATTTTCCCCCCTTAAAAAAAGAAAAATAAAAAAAAATGAGGTCGTCTGTCCACCTTGCGGATGGACGTCCTACACTGCGCTTGCCGGTACGTGGCCTCCACTCGAGAACTTCTGCCCCAGCAGCCGTCGGTTCTCCGAGCTATGTGCCATGCCCACTGCCACTTCAACTTGCTAATCCCATATACGGGGCTTATAAACAGCCGCGTCACCTGATGGTAAACAATCAATGCTGCCCATGGACACCCTAACCACAACACTGCACTGGTACCAAAGAGAATCTAGTGCGGCATATTGGGGTAAGATTGGGATTCTAGTAACCTAACTCATACAACGAAATATAATATTTGGGTAGTTTCCACGTCTGTTTCCTCTAAGACCATGATATCACTCCAATTGAGCTAGAGCTAGCTATGAAGTACAGCTCTCTACCGTGAAACAACTTAGATAAATGTACTGTTTTCGCAATTCAAAAACAGCCATTGAATAAGCTACTTTTATTATATAATTCGTGAAATGATACCTCTATAAAAATCCGTCTGCATTCACATTTCGTACACAAAGATTTGCAAACCGGTTTCTCTGGTTTTTACTCGTACAATAACAAACGGGATTGTCCAAGGTCATTTAAGTCATAAAAATTCGCGTACAAAACGTATAGTATGTAGAAATAGGATGAAAGAATCTGTAGCCTTTGCCTACAACATCCGCTTTCTGCCACTTGGTGGCGCTACTGTTTTTGGCGGGAATTTTGACGTTGACAGTTAGAATAATGTGTCAGGATGACAGCTGTTTTTTTTATTACAATTGTTTTTTTTTCATAGAGATGTTTGAACTTTAATATCGCTGATATTCCGACAGCGTATCAGTAGAAATTAGGTAGGTATATTCATAATAATAAATGCTAGATACAATCAACATTGTTGTAAAGATTAGTTATTGATCTTTATTGTTTTAGAACTACCGTAAACATAAGCAAATAGCAAAATAATTTGAAATTGTTTTGTGACAGATATAATGATAAATGATAAACGAATGTATGATCGGCTGACGGCACTCTTAGGTCAGATCAGAGGTAAAATTAAAGAATGACATTATTTTTTTTCAACATGTGCCTTTAGCATGGCTTAAAACTATTCGAGTTCCTCATCAGACAGTTACCTTCGTGAGTAAGGCGAAAACATAATAATTAATTGAGTCTCATAATAGTTTTTATGTATAGATTTATTTTTAAACTAGTAAACCCGGCGAACTCCATTTCGCCACTAGATGGCATCGTTTTATGTAACATTTCGTTTGGTGATTAGTGAATCTTCTTTGCTATAAACCTCTCAGAGCCCGAAACCTTTCCAATGAATGAAAAACCGTGGAAATCGGTTCGTGCGTTCTGGAGTTATAGCGTCAGGAAGGAAAATCCGACTTATTTTTATATAAGTAGTAGATTACTGCCTTAGAGTCAAGCGATCGTAAAAGTGATTTCCGCGGCGAGATTTTACGTTCCGACTTTCTGGTCAGGCAATTTGAAGAAGAAAAGACGTGATGAAAATCATTGCTACCAAAAACCTTGCCATTACTGAGAATTTCTAAAAACAAAAAAAAATACGACAATTCGAAATCAGAGACCTCGTCCTGTCAAAAAATTTGATTACGTTTCGGTACATAAGTAAGTTATTAAAAAATAAAATGATCGATGAGTAAAAACAACGATTATTTAAACCGATAAGTTATTATTAATCCAGCATAATTCATGATATCATTTAGTATTAATATAAAAATAGATATTGACATACATTATCAACAATTTCTTGGTAAAAATTGAATAACTACCGAATTAAAACCTAATAGATAAGTTCGAACAATATTACGTCATTGATAGATTCATGGTTACTTGTGTAAAATAAAAATGAAATCATTTACTACCTATATGTAATTAAAAAATCATCACTATGTAATTAAAAATAGGGTAGAAGACTAATTTTTATTTTAATGTCCGTCTGGTAGATTTATTTAAAACATTACACACGTATTTTTTATTTTCTTACAGAAACGAGTACTTTCGACGTTATATTAATTTGAAATGTCGCGTGACGTCATTTCTATGTACATTTTATACGTAGAAATAACGTTTTAGCCCAAACTCC